AAGTGCTCTTTGGGAATAACAAAAATAGGCTTCCAGAAAGTTCTACCTGGCATCTACCTCGCATCTGTCACGATGCAACTAAAATCCCAGGCAGCACCACGTCTCGACCACGGTGTCCTATTGACTCAAGTCCAAGCCCCGTGGTCCCCTGTGAGCTGTGCCACCAGGGTCAACACTGGGCCTGCTGAGACTGTATTAGGGGCGTGAGAAATCTCACCCCAGGAGGTTCTGTAAGAAGCAAAGTCTTTAGCCCCGTGCTTGACCCCTGAGGGCCTGGTACCTGGTCACTGAGCGTCTGGGAAACCTGGAGTCCCTGCTGCCACTTGGGCTTAATGCTCTGGACCTGCTGCTGCCTCGGCAGCCTGGTGTCCCCGTGACCCTCTGAATCGCCTCCTCAGCCAGCCAAGCCCTTCTCTGGGAATCCGGGGGCAGGACCACCAGCTGTGGGGTCCCTGCTTGGTGCTGGATGCACAGAAAACAAATATTGTTTTAGAAACATTAATAATTGAGAAGCTCTCAGCAGAGACCGGCCAGCATTAGGGGAATTGAAAATCAAGGCAAAGACGCTACCTCCAGCTGCTTCCCCATGAATAATTCATGGGCCAGACCCACCAGACGGGGAAGAGGGGCGCCTTCTGTGTCTGCGGCCCCCCAACGCCACCGCTCCATCCCCTCGACTGTTCCCTGACGCCTTGGTGGTGGCCGGGAGGGTCCCCTGGGGGAAGCAGTAGGGGTCACCGCCACAGCCGAGTTCTGATTGAGTTTTGCTGCCTCCTGTTGATTTGTTGCTGTGGGATCTTGGATCAGTTCACTTCCTCTCTGAGCAGGAGTCTCGTCACCGGTGGAGTCGGCTTTTCATCTCTGTGACCACAGACCTGGCAAGAAGGACTTAGAGGAGGGAACGTTTATTTTGGGCTCTTGGTTTCAAAGGTTCAGACAGTGGTCAGCCGACTCCAGGGCCCTGGGCCTGAAGAGGGGTAGAACAGGTGGCGGAAGAGTGGGCGGAGGAACTGACAGATCATGGCCCCCAGGAAAGGAGGGGCAAGAGGTCAGGGATGTGTGTGGTCCAGGGCCACATCCCCAGGGCCCCACTTCCTCCAGCCACGCCCCACCTGCTATAGTCACCTGTAGTCCATTCAGCCATCAACGAATTAACCCAGCAAATGGATTAATCCACTGACGGCTCTGACCACTGCCTAGAGCCCACCTCTGGACCTCACTGCACTGGGACCTGAGCACATTCCAGACCCAAACCATAAGACCGCCTGGGAACTGGCTGTGAGTCTGAGATCCAGTGATGGACAGGACCTTGAGCAGCCACTGAGGCCTCGGGTCCAGAGAGAACCATTCCCTGAATCTTCGTAGGACAGCCATGGCCCAGGGGAGAAGACTGGGAAAGAAATGGACGATTATACTCCAAGGTACTTGGACAAAGATGGAGTTAAGCAGAGGGCATGCGAGAGTGCAGGGCAAGGGTCCTAACTTGAACCTGAGGAGTGATCAGGGAGGGCTTCCTTCCTAGTGGAGGGCACACCTGAATGGAGAGTGACGGTGTCTTAGTCCATTTTCTGTTGCTGTAACACAAGGCCTGAGGCTGGGTGATTTATAAATCATAGAGGTTTACTTGGGCTCCTGGTTCTGGAGGCAAGGAAGTCCGAGAGCAGAGTGCCGGCATCTGCTGGGCTTCTGGTGAGGGCTTTGTGCTGCGTCTCAGCATGGTGGGAAGTGACAGGGCGAGTGGGCCTGCAGAGGGGACAGAACACCAGGAGACCGCACTGCGGCCACCTGCTCTCAAGATAACTGACCCCATCATGTGAGAGAGGGGACGCGCTTGCCGCCGTGAGAACTGAGAATCAACCCAGCCCCTGGCTTCTGAAGAGCAGAGTCCCCATGTCCCAAACACCTCTTAGAGTCCCCTCACCTCCCAACACTTACAGTGGGGACCAGATTTCAACCTGAGGTTTGAGGGGAGCACACCACACCCAAGTCACAGCAGATGGTCAGGAAAAGAAGGGAAAGAGGGTGTCTCATGCAGAGACACAGTGTAAAAAGTCCCAGAAAGAGAGAAAGTACTTTTGTAGTGACTGTGTGGGGACAGAAACAGGGTAGGAGGCTGGATCCTGGGAGTCCTTAGAACCCTAAGGCATTTGTATTTGGACCTTGCCCTGAGGGCAATGGGGAGCCATAGAAGGTTTAAGCAGGGTGCTGGTGAGATGATTGGATTTGGCTCAGGAAGATCGGCTCAGTGGAGGACGCTGTGTGGATCGCTGTGTGCTCCCGTCTTGGTTTAAACCCTGGGCACCCCACTCAAACTGGTTGACTGTCGTCGTTTCCCAAGCCATCCTTCCTTGTGCTCCTAACATCTGTCCAGTCGAAAGCTGCCTTCAAGATTCTGAAGGTCAATGGGCCAGGTACAGCGGTGCACACCTGTCATCCCAGTGGCTTGGGAGGCTGAGGCAGGAGGATCATGAGCTCAAGGCCAGCCTCAGCAACGTAGGGAGGCCCTAAGCAACCCGGTGAGACCCTGTCTCTAAATAAAATACAAACAGGGCTGGGGCTGGGGCTCGGTGGTCGAGGGCCCCTGGGTTCAATCCCTGAACTCAAGGTTCGCTCTCCTGCCCACTGTGACGGCCACACTAGGACTAAGACCACGTGGACTCACTTGCGCTGATGCAGGCTGGATCTGAAGGATTTTCGTTAGCCGGAAAGGGGTTCCCCACGGGTTTCAGAAACCACGTTTGACAATCCGTCAAGGAGAACAGGTGGCCCTAGGGACTCATGGTGAGCCTGGGAGATCACTGCCAATAGTCAGCTTGGAAATGATCCCGGCTGCAGCCTCACGTCCGTCTGCGTGTTGATAACCTCCACCAGAGGCCGCCTCATCCTCCTTTGTGCTTGAAGAACTAACGTGACAACCAAGGCTGAGCTCCTTTCTGGTGGGGACCCCCTGATGCCCCCACTGGGGAAAAGTGGCCTTGTAGGTTCTGGGGACTCACCGAGGGCAAAATCGACACAATCCCTGTCCTTGTGGAGTTACAATTCCCAGGCAGATTTAATCGAAGAGTCACATCAACAAGTACAAGGTCACAACTTAGCCAAGTGGAGTTCTGAGATGGGGTGACGGACGGGGACAGAGCAGATCCTAGGTAGAGGCATTGCTAGTGCAAAGGCTCTGGGGTAGGTGGGTCTCAGACAATGAACGTACCATAGACAGCGAGAGGGACATGGGACATGCTGTGTAATGAGGCCACAATAGTCAGCAAAGACCAGGACCTTGGTGGTCATGGTGAGATTTTTTTTTCTTTATTCTGAAATCAAAAGAAAGTCAGAAGGTCATTACAATCAGTTAGCAACAGCTGCGTAACAAACACTCCCCAAACGTAGTAGCTTAAAGCACCCACCTCTGACTTAGCTCAGGAACTTGCAGCTCAGCCTGGTGGCTGGGCTCCATTGCCGATTCCTCTGGTCTTGGTCAGGCTCAGCTGACCTTAGTTTGCCATGTGTCTGTGATGAGCCAGGGGTCATCTGGGGCTTGCTGGTTAATGGTGACTGCTATGAACTGAGTATGGTTTGACCCATCCAAACATCCTGTTGGAATTGGATTGTTTTTGCAGCAGTGTTGACCTGGCCCTCATGGGAGGTGCTGGGTCATAGGGACGGAGCTATCAGGGATATCTTGTGGGAGTTTGTCCCTCTGTTTTGCAGGTCCCCACTTTGCCCTGCCAAGCTGGGAGTAGCACAGGCCTGAAGGTGGGCAGATGCCGGTCTCATGCCTTGTGCTTCTCGGGCTTCGTGATCCCAGGTGTACTTTTCTTCATAAATTACCCAGTCTCAGGGATTCTGATAACAGAATCTCGGAAAACAGTCTCGGAAAACAGTCAGAGACAGTGAAGTGACCCTGACGGGGATGGCTGGGGTGGAGACAGGGGGCTGGTGATTTCTCCCTGGGGTTTCCATCATCTAAGCAGCCCAGTCTGTCCCCATAGTGCTGGGAGAGTTTGAAGGAAGGGAAACAGCAGGACTTTTATTTTTGGTACCGGGGATGGAACCCAGGTGTGCTTAACCACTGAGCCACGTCCCCAGCTCTTTTGAAAATGTTTTGACTTAGAGACAGGGTCTGGCTGAGTTGCTGAGGGCTCCGCTAAGTTGCTGAGGCTGGTTTTAAACTTGGCATTCTCAAAGTCGCCTCAGCCTCCAGAGCTGCTGGGATAGCAGGTGTGCGCCACTGTGCCGGGCGGGACCTCTTCAAGCTGAGCTTGATGGGACGTCATTGTCCAGCCTAACACAAAGGCTCTAAGTAAAAGGGTGGTTCTGTTAGGGGCCCAACGGACCCCTCGGCTGCTGTGGGGAGGATGGATTGGAGCAGTATCTGTCACTGTCTGCCTCCATAGCCACTCTTCCCTTCATTATTAGTGACAATGCCAATTTGTATTCTTACACATTGCTTCCTGGAACAAACACCAAATTTCCACACCTCCTTTTATAAGGGTAGCTTTGTCGTACGGGACTTCTAGAAAATAATCTTATAAAAGGAGAGTCAAGACTTTCTTCTGCCCCTCCCTTTCCATGCTGGCCTTGAGAGCAGATGTGTTGTATGGTGCTTAGCCATACAGCCAGCTTGGACCATGAGGGTGAGGTCTCCTCCTAAGCGGTGGGATGGAGAGCTGGGAGGAGCCGGGTTCCTGATCAGTTGGTGAAGCCACAATACTCCCTTGGCCCCTGACACCAGCCCAGTGCTACTAGTGGCTCCCTGCTGCTCTTTCTTTGGAAAATTTCTCTTGGCCCGATGGTTGCCAGTTCACTCTGGAGGTTAGGGTCCCCCCACCCAGGGTGCAGGCTCAGGAAAGGCTGGTCCCCTTTGATTGAAGAAGAGATTAATTCTGTGATGCGATTCACACTGGCTCCCCTGGGAGGGGCTGAGGCCAGGCTGAGCCTCCCCTGCCCTTCCGGGGACACTCCCTGATCAGCTCCCTCATCTGCATCTCAGGCCTGCTGCTGGGAGGCGGCCCCAGGACCCTTCCCCTGATGGGATGTTGAACCAGCCTCCAGCTGCCTCGCCCAGCAAGCCCCCCAGCTCCTCCATCTGTCCCCTGGTTCTGGGGTGGGCAGAGCCGGGATCAACAGAACCCTGCTGGACACTCGGGAAGGAAGCGTGGAGAGACCCCCGCGCCTGCCCGGGGCCTCCCGCTACTCGGGCGTCTCCTCCTCGGTCCGCTGGAGGCGTTTGGAAGCAGCTGTCCCTGAGCCGAGCCGGGTAATAACTCAGGAGCCGGCGCCTCCAGCCGCCTCATTCCAGCCCCGCTGCCACCCCGATGCCGGGCTGGTGGACAGGACAGAAAAAACCACCAGGCTCGCCTGGAAAATGGCCCCACTTCCAGCGCTTCCAGGTCCCGGGCTGGGCTGGGCGCCGCCAGGCTGCGGCACCGGCTGGGGGCGGTGGTGAGGGAGGCCGGCGGGTCCCTGGGGACAGGCGCAGGCACAGAGCCTTGGTTAACCTGTGGATCCTGAGCCCGTGGGGCTGGGACAGTGGCTGGAGCAGGGCTTTGGAGGTCAGGCCGAGTGTCCTTCCCTGTCTCATTCATTCATTCAACGTGATGGATGCCGCTGGCGGGGAGGTGGCATGGAGGGTGCAGAGGGCACAGGGCAGTGCCTCCCTGCAGGGGGCAGGTGGCAGGCCTCATGCACGCAGGCCGTCAGAGGCCAGGGACAAGCGGCATCTGGCCAGCAGCTCTGTGAATGGCGGTGGCTGGTCCCCTGGGGATGCCGGAGCTACCAGCACTGGAAGCAGAGAGGGCGGGCGGCGGTGAGGGTAGGTCACGGTCTCTGCGCGTGTGTGAGTCCAACTCCCAGCTCGGCTGCTTACGTAGTACTTAGTCTCGCTCTGCCTCAGTGTCCCTCTATGCTTCAGGGACACAGGACATCATCAGGGGAAGGTTCTGAGGCTCCTGTGGACTTCAGAATACAGGACGATAGAACGCTGTGTGCCATGGAGTCCAAGCTGGGAGACGACACACACTGCCCTCACCTGTGGTTGAACAAAGCCAGGTAGGGGTAACTTCACAGTTGCTTTTAGATGATCTGGAAGTTTCTTACACTCATTTACGACACCTCTAGCCACGCATGGTGGTGCCTGTCTGTTGTCCCAGCAGCTCAGAGGCTGAGGCAGGAGGATCAAAGCCAGCCTCAGCAACAATGAGGCCCTAAGCAACTCAGTGAGAACCCTTTCTCTAAATAAAATCCAAAATAGATCTGGGGATGGGGTTCTGTGGTCTAGAGCCCCTGAGTTCAATCCCTGGTACTCCTTCCCCTTCCCTAAAAAATCCCACCTCTAGGTTTCGAGGCAGATGAATTGAAGAATTCATATTCCCAGGAAACCTGTGTGTGGATATTTACAGGGAATCCCCCCAAACTGGAATCCACCCTGGTGCCTCTCAGCGGGAGAACCGAGGTCCACGACACCACCCAGCCACCAACATCCGAACACACGTGTGCGAGGCTCAGCGTGAGAAGCCGGACTCCAGTGGCCACTGCCGCACGAGAGGCCCGGGATGCCGCGCACAGGGCGTTCCTGAGAACTCCAGGGACAGAAAACTGGTTGGCGGCTACAGGCGTGGGAGGAGAAATTGATAAAGGAGCTGGGGGGAGTTCTGAGAGGGGTGGAACCATTGGCGTCCTGATTGGGGCGGTGGGTTCATGACGGTAAGTATGTGTTGGTCACAGTCAGAAGGTGAATTTCAGTGCACGTAAAGTACTTAAGGCAGAGACAACAGGGTGTGCAACGGCCCTGAGGCTTGGATCAGGTTGGAGGAAGTGGCCGGGGCTGAGGTAGTCTTGAAGGCCACGTCCACTGCCTTGCACCGTGGGAAAGTGCTGGGTGTCTTAAGCACTGAGGAATATCAGCAGATTTTTGTTTCGGAAAGATTGCGTGTTCCGTTTCCAGGCAGAAGCCACTGGACACATGGCCTGACCCTGCCTCTGAAATGTTCTCATCTGCCCTGCCCCCATCCTTTTTAAAGAATCGGAACTTGGGGCTGATACTTAAAAAATAGGTTTTGCAGAGAATCCAGATCCCTGGCTTCTCCCTAGGGACACACACTCCGGGTCGCCCCAGCCCTCTCCCGCTCCCTCCTTCCTGCCCTGAGCTGGGTTGGGGTTTTGACCCCAGGGGTTGAAAATGGATGATAGGAGGGAAGGGGCCAAGGACAGTGGCACTTCCCAGTCCTGGCTGAACACTGTCATCACCTGGTGCTACAGCTTGGGTACCAAATGTCCCCCGAAAGGCCCCGTGTTGGACCTTGGTCACCAGCCTGTGCTGTTATAGGACCCCCTAGGAGGCGGGGCCTAGTGGGAGGAAGTGATGTAATGGGGGCGTGGCCTGAGGGGATAATGAGACCACACCCTTTCCTGTCTCTCCAGCCTCCAAGAGGTGAACGGTCCTCCTTCGCCATGTGCTCCCACCATGATGGACTCTGCCACCATTGGCCCAAAGCCACAGGACCAGGTGACCACGGACTAAACTCTGAAACTGTGATCCAAGAAACCTTTCCTCTTTAAAAGCTAATCATCTTGGGCATTTTGTCACAGTAACACAAGGCTGACTAATGCTTCCTAGGGAACTTTTAAAACTGTGATGCCCAGGGCAAGCTGTTGGGGGCAGCCTGGGCAGCTGTCATTTTAAATGCTCCCCCAGGGGCTCTACTGTGCACCCAGGGGTGGGGCCCACTGGTCCAGGGGCAGATGAAGGCATGGGCTCAGTGGTGGCAGGAGAGGCACGGAGAGACAGCTGGGACCCAGGGCTGCACGAGGAGGAGGATTCGAGTGTGCTGTGTGGATTCTGCTGGGACAACTGGGTTGCAATGAAGGGACATGGGAGGAGTCAGGGGAAGGCACTGAGGAGCCTGTGGCCTCCAGAGCAGGGCCCGGTGTGGCTGGGGTCTGAAGTGGGGCTAGCCGCGCCCTCTCTGTGGTTCTACGGTGACCGTGACCCGAGCCCACTGCAACCCTGGGCGCACACACAGAGACCCACGCACCTGTGACCTCTCCAGACACCGTTTATTGTCTTGGTGTCCCCTCAGCTTTCTTTCTGGTACCCAGTGGGTGTCTTCAGGACTGTCTCCGGTGAGGTCAGCCCAGGGAGGGGCCCTTGGTCCCGAGGAGGGGAGGGCAGAGGCCCAGAGCTTCCTGCCTCAGCTGTCCCTGGCTGGGCTGGCCTCTGTCACCATTAAGTGATGATCGTGGCATGGTCCTGCCGTAGGAAGCACTGTGTCACCTGGGAACACAGGACGGCCCCTCGTCTCTGCCTGGGAGAAGCGCGTGGAGACGCGGTGGGGCATGAGGAGTCCTGGGTCCTGGGCGGTTTCTGGGCTGACGTCACCCAGACACAGCGCTTGGGAAGGAGCCAGAGCTCCCGCGAATGGGGCTCTTCCAGGATGGGGTTCCCTTGACACGGCCTCTCCAGGGTCCTTTCTAGATCCCGCTCTCTCTGGGCGGGTGGTGCTCGTGGCTGCTCCTCGAGGCCCTTCCCCTGTGATGTCACTGTGAGCTGAGTGCCAGGGGGCGCTGAGAGTCCCCGAGGTGTCCCTGTGCACCGTGGCCCTGCTGGGTGCTCCTGTGAGCAGTGCCTGCCTCAGACAGCGTGAGTGACAGGTCTGGTAGGGACTGAGATTGCAGACGACCAGGTGCTCTGCCGGGGACAGTCCCGCGTGGTCACCGCCTTTCCCTCTGAGCTCACCACGGCTGGTGCTGGTTGCGGATGGCGCTCACCCTTTAGGGTGGTTTCCTTATGGAAGGTTCTAACCTCAGATGGCCTTAGCATAGCTGCCACTGTCACTAGACTAGTGGTGAGCGGGGAGGCGGTCCCCAGGCCTTGGTGCTCACTGTGGAAGGATTGGCTCTTCAGCGGGCGGGGAGGGCATCTGCTGCCCACCTGGGTGTGGAGCCTCTGCTCAATGGCACCGGGTCGGGGTGCCCCTGGCTGAGGCTCACTGTACTGGATCTGATTCCCACGGGTGCTCTTGACCCCGCCGTCCCTGCACCCGTGGACCCGGCCACAGCTCTTCTTACCAACAATAGTCCTCGGGGTAGCTGCCGTCCCTGATGCCCAACTCTCAGTAAAGATGGAGTTCAGCCGCCCTGCCCTGCGTCACAGGACCTGCCTGCTGATGGCTGCTGCTACCTAGGGGACGACTGGTCAGGTGTCACCTCCCTGGGTGAAGTCTGGGAGTGCTGGGCCCCGTGGGTGGAGATCTGAGGGGACCTGGGGCTGGGGACCGGCCTCACAGGGGCACGTTCACCCGGGCAGGCTGCTCCGCCGGGGCCACCTGGCTGTTGCTTTCCGACTTGTCCCCCGTCTTGTCCTCCTGCAGGTGGGTGCTGCTGCTGGGGGTGTTCTGCCCGCTGCCGCTCCTGGGCAGGTTCTGGCTGCTGCTGGTCTGGCTGGAGGGTTGGCTGCCCCGGGGGTCCAGCAGCCCGCTGCTCACCTGGTAGGTCAGGAAGCTGCTGCCCGGGCTCAGGAAGCCGACGCTGCCCAGGCTCCCTCACTTTTCCCCTCCAGCCTGCCTGGTGCCGTGGCCGTGGCCGCTCAGCCGGCTGTTCACTGGGCTGGGCGCGTGTGTGGTGCCCGCCTGGGAGTGGGGCCTTTTGCTCAACAGGGCCACCCGGTTGCCAGCTGCCAATCTCACGTCGCTGTCCTCGGTGTCCCCGGTGTACCCGCTGCTCAGCAGGCTGGCGTTACTGCACTCGTCCTGCTGGGGCCGGGGCATGCTCTGCACCAGGGCCTTGCTGCTCGGGGGCTTCCCCAGGGTGCTGCCGGTCACGCTCAGGGGCTCCGGAGCCTCTTCTGCATGGCTGGCCGGCAGGGCGCGGAGCTCTAGGCTGTGCGACTGGACACTGGGCTCTGGTTCACAAGCATTCCAGGCAGGGGACCCCCCTCCTTCTTTCTTGGGGAAAGCAGGGGGCAAGGGGATGGGTTTGTCCAGGAGGAGGGGACCTTGGGAGGCCTCTGAGTGTTGTCTGTGGCCGGTCAGGAGGAGAGTCTCAATTTATAGCGCTGACCTTTTAAAAGGGAGGGTTCTGACTGGCTGGCTCGGTTCCCACGGGGATGGGCCCTGTGATGCGGGGGACAGGGTGGGAGGGAGGACAATGCTGCCCGACACCAGCTGGTGACCTCAGCGGCCTGGCCTGGAGGGAGGGGGCTGGGCAGAAGGGGGCTCCTGGGCAGAGTGGGTGGGAACCAACCTCCCCAGGGACAGTGAGGGGCCCTTGGCCTTGTTTGGCAGCCTCTGCCTCCCGGCCAAGGTGACTCTGAGGATGGAGAGGACTCCAGTTCAGCTCAGCCTCAGTCCCTCAGCAGACCCCCGCCTCCCCCACGCCATGCGCCCTCCCATGTGGCACACTGGTGAGCTGGGTGTTGGTCTTGATGGCCGGTTCCCCACACCAGGACGCAAATGTGGTGACAGCAGAGATTTTGATTCTGCATCCTCTGCTCGGCCCCCATCTAGCACACTGCTTGGCACGTAGTAGATGCTCATTAAACACGGGTTGAGTGACCACACAGACGAACTGTTTCCAGCCATCTGGGGAACCTAGAAGCCATGCTGGGATTCCCTAGGACAGTGGCTCTCTCCTTTGCCTGCCCTTCAGAGCTACCCACGGCCGCCTAGGCCCCAGCCCCAGCCCCAGAAGGTCTGAGTTAATTGCTCTGGGATGAGGCTTTAGAAGCATAATTCTAAAAAGCTCTCCAGGTCATTCCGATGTGCAGCCAAGGTTAGGAGTTTGGGCCAGAGGAGAGGCTCCTTCCTCGTGGCCACGGGAGCCCGTGGTGCCCAGCCCACCAGTCATCGGGAGATAGCAGAGGGTCAACGAGCAGCTGACGGAATAGAGGAACCGTGCACTGACTGGAGCTACTCACTGACCCTTAGGGAGCTCACGGGTTGAATCTGTGCGCCAAACAGATGACGGTGAGCCACGTGACGTTTCCTTTCCTGGAGGGAAGGAGTCGCAGCCTCGTCGGTTCTCACGGTTCTCACGGGTGTTCCTGTTTCCCCAGGGATCAAGGAGCGAGAAGATCCTCTGCAACTCCCGCCCCTGCGTGTGGGTGACCTGAGCTTGTCCCGAGCCACAGGTCTCGGGCACCCTGGCCTGTCTGAGTGGGACGCAGGGTCGGGAGACGGAAGCACTCCTTGGAGAGCGTCGCTCAGCCCCAGGACACAAGAACCCCGTGTTCCTCACTGGGGACAGGCAAGGAGGTGAGACAGGGTGGCTTGGGAGAGATGCTCGGAGTAAGGGACGTGGCCAGGGCCACAGCTGTGGGAACAGGGACCCCCATGAGCCCTCCAGGGGACGGGCACTAGAGAGGCAGGGGTTGGGCACGTGGCAGAGGGTTGGGCCTTTGGACTTGCTTTGTCACCGCACAAGTACGGAGTAGGGCAGAAGCCCTGGTGCTGGGGATTGACGGGGACAAACTGGGACATGTTCCGTCCCCTTCCCCAGTCTACCTGCCCCAGGAACACTGTCATGGGCCTGAAAGGAATACCCGGGGCTTGTCCAGAATTAATGGCCGAGATACGCAGCGGCCAGAGGGTCCCTGTACAGCTGGGGACAGAGGGGCCTCCTGGAGAGCGGCTGGGAGGGGCACCCCCTTCAATTCCTCGGGCTGTTCTGGGGGTCTCGGGCAGCGTCCCCTGTGGGTCCTGTTCCATGACAGCCTGCTCACTTTTGCCTGCCACCTGCAGGACCCCCGGGGAAGCTGTCCCTATGGTGTCCCTGCTGTGCTAAAGGTCACGCTGCCCTGCTCAGAGCCTTGTCCTGGCATCCCCTGGAGCCACGGTCCCCAGGTCTCAAACGGAGCAGCACCTCTGAGCCCACCCAGCCAGAGCCACAGCACCACGGGAGAAGTGGGTGGCAGGTAAACCGGGCATCTCATGTGGGGACCACGCCCAGGCTGACCTGCCAGTCTCCAGTCGTAGTGTACTCCCGGGGTGGACCAGGGGCACTCACCACTGAGCCACGCCCCCAGCCCTCTTGATTTAGAGACGGGGTCTCCCTCAGTGCCTCAGGGTCTCACTAAGCTGCAGAGGCTGGCTTTGAACTCACGATCCTCCTGCCTCAGCCTCCCGAGCTGCTGGGATGACAGGTGTGGGCCTCTGCGCCTGGCCCTGTGTCCAGTCCCGCTGGCTGCCCGCCCCGGGAGAGCCGCTTCGGCTCAAATGCACGCGGCTTCTCTTGCCCCGCGGTCCCTCTCTCACACAGGTCAACTTCTTTGCCCAGGTGACTGGCACCCACAGGACCAGCAGCCAGAAAGACACGGCCCGGGTCCTAGCCGAGGGTCGACGGGAGACCTGGTTACAGGAAGTGACCGTGGAGGTGGACCAGTGTCTGCCCTTCCCCGGCGTGGCTGGCAGTGCTGGCCAGTCATGCGTCTTCTCATTGATTTCTCCAACCCCTGGCCTGCAGGTGGAGCTAACAGAATGTGGGCAGCAGCGGCGTCACCTCTCCACAGGGACAGGCCATTGACATCTCCTGTGCATGATCCTTCCTTCCTTCCCTCTCTGTTGGGAGCTGGCATGAGGCCCGCCGTGCCCTGAGTGAAGGGACCCCGGATCCCTGTATGGCCGTGGGGAGTGGAAGCCCTGCCCCCCACCCATGGGCTTCCCGGCTCAGCCACTGAAGTTGGGGTGAGTCATCCGTGGCCACAACGGAGTGGATGCTCTGTGAGCCCCGACGCTGCCAGTGCGCGGTCTGCGTGCAGCCTCTGAGGGCCCCTGCAGTGGGCTCCGGGCCGGGGTCTCCTCACCCTGTACCCTAAGTGTCTCGGCATCAGATCCCCGGATGGGGAAGAGTCTACCCTTATATCATGAGGATGGAGAAGAACATCCGCAGAAACCCCACCATCCCAGAAACTGGCCCTCAGCCGCAGGCCCCTGCCCGGTGTCCACCCCAGCTTAGCCGAAGCCCTTGCTGGGGTGGCCCGCAGGTCCCTGAATGTGACGCACCTAGTCACTCCATGATTCATTCATTCAGCAAGTTTTTCCTGGACGGTTCCTTCTGTCTTCCGCAGGTCGCTGAGTCCCTGCTCCGTGTTGGCCTCGAGGTAGCCCTGGCCCTCGGAGGCCCTGGTTCATGGAGGCGAGGGACACAGAGAGGAGGGCAGACTCCTGTGTGTCAGGGCAATGTCAGGAGGACAGCGAACCTGGGGAGGGTAGCCCTGGGGCACACGTGTGTGTGTGTGTGTGTGTGTGTCCTCAGTCAGAAGGAGCACATGCAGACCGAGGAGGAGGTCACAGGGGGCCACAGAGAGGACAGGTCCCGGGGGCTCTGCAGGGGCTGTGGCCTCCACCCCGAGTGATGGAGGGATCGCTGAGAGTCTTCAGCAGAGGAGTCGGATCCGCTGCTGAGTGGACCGTGGGGGCCCGGGTGGAGCACAGAGCCAGTTGGCTGGCGCAGTCATCTCGGGGTGTGATGGGGGTGGCTTGGGCCTGGAGGGTGGTTTCACTCGGGCCAGCTGGGGTCCAAGTCTTGTGCCAGCCGTTGCAGTGACATCGTGTGGTCCCCTTAGCTCTCTGAACCTTAGCCCTCCGTCTGGGAAGTGAGTAATAACATGGAGACTGGCGCTCTCCGGGGGACGCTGTGGGGCCTGGGCTGAGTCAGGGCGGGTCTGCTCCCACAGGATCCGTCCCCCGCTGACCCGAGAGCGAGCTGTGCAAAGTGCGCAGCGTGTCTGTGCGCGCAGGTGCGTGAACACGTGTGTGAGCCCGTCGTCGCGCAAACACATGCACAGGACAACCACAGACACGCCTGTCCCCAGCAGGGCCCTGGGACAGCCCTCCCCGAGGTTCCCCACCCGCCCACCGTCTCCCCTCAGCTCCCCTCCCTGGTCCCCTCTGGGGTCCGTCCCCAGGGCCCAGCCTGGCCAAGTGCTTTGCTGGCTCCCTGCAGCGAGTCCCTGAGCACCGGCTGTGTCCTCACTTGCAGGGTGACAGGTGTCCTCCTGAGGACAGCCACCCTCATGCCCCAGACCCGCACTTGGCTGGCACTGAGACCCGGTTGTCTGACCCCGGCCCCGGGGCCCTCCCAGCACCGGGCTGGTAACCCAGCTGCTCCCACCGTGGTCCTTGCTCCCCGGTGACTCGACTGGGCTCCAAGACACAGAGTATCGGGGGCAGCGAAGTGCTCTGTGGACCCAGAGCCATGGCTGCCCCTCTCCTCAGGTCCACAGGGCACTGACGCAAGACCCAGGGACCAGGGTCGATGCCCTCTCCAGGGAGGACCCACTCAGCCAGAGCCTGGAGAGTGCTCTGTGTGAAGGTGACCCCTCGTCTCCAGGCGCCTGATGGAATCCTTGCTCCTGTTTTTCCCCTTAAGGCATTAAAAATAAATAAACAAATAAGCATCCATGTGCCCAAGAAATAAGACATTACTGATGTGCCCTGCTGGGGTTTGACTCTAGAATGTTCCCCAGAGACCCAGATAGTGAAAGACGTGGTCCCCAGTCCCTGGGGCTGTCTGGAGGTGGCAGAACCTAGGTGAGGTAGGACCTAGTGGAAGAAGGTCCCTGGCGAATGGCTTTAAAGGGGACATTGGGACCCCAGTCACGTCCTCTCTCTCCTCCTCCTGCTTCCTAGATGCCATGAGGTAGACAGGCCTCCTCCACCATGTCTGCCCGCCATGAGGCACTGTGCTGCCACAGGCCCAAAGCAACAGGCCAAGGGACCATGACCTGAAACCACTGAAACTGTGAACCAAATAAACCTTTCCTCTTTTTAAGTTGTTTACCTCAGGTATTTTGTCACAGTGACAGAAATCTAACACACACCCCCAAACCACTTAGTTCCCACGGGGCATCTCCCCTTGGCAATCCGGAATGTGAAACCCAGTACCGCCATATCCCTCTTCACACCTGAACTGTGAAGGAGCACTGTGAGCCGGTGTGGGGTTGTTGGTGTGCGATTAATCTCGATATAAATGGTGTTCTTCACATATCCTCTTACAAATTGCTTGTATGGTTCATCTGGGCTCACACGTAGCTCAAGTTCATTGTTGTTACTAGAGTCTGTGGATGAATCCCATCATTTACTTGCTCTGTTGATGCACATTTGGGTCATTTCCCCACTTTTTCCCCCTGCCATAAGCAAAGATTCCTGTGTCTCCTTCGCATGACACCCCCCTGAGGCTTCCTGAGGAGCTCCCCCCAAACAAACTCTGAAACTTGAACTTGTTTTGTTTGCACACATGGAAGAAACTTCTCCCCAGCCCTTGGGCCTCATCGTCCAGCTGAGCATCTCCAGGAGGTTCAGTGTGGGGACGCCATGAGTCACAGGGGTGTCTGCTGCCTACACTACTTGGTCATAAACATGGTCATTCCAGAATGTTCAGCTTTAGCTGAGTTAACCCACTTGGCTGGGGCTGGGGTGAAGGGAGCAGGAGTTGAGAGGAGGCTGGGGAGGCTGAAAGGGAGGCAGGCCCCTCTGAGGGTCGAGTGCCACCCAGAAACACTCAGAAACACCCACTCCTCCTCATCAGGACCCGTCTTACATTGGTGCCAAATAACCCTCTCAGGTTCTTGATTGCAAATGTCTTGTGAGAAGGACGGGATGGGAAGGGAGGAAGGAGGAGAAAGATTCCCACGGAGGGCAGAGAGGCACAAAGAGTCCCAAGGAGGAGCAGGGTCACGGGGCACCTGGCACATGAAGCCACAGGTCAAATCCAGGCTCTGCTAAGGATTTACTGTGTGATCCCGGGAAAGTTTCCTAACCTCTCTGTCTCAGTTTGGGTTTCCTCAAAAGCAGGCTTGGGGCATGGACTTGGGTACCAGTGGTTTATTGGGAGGTGACCCCAAGACACCCAGGTGAAGAGATGGGCAGCAAACAGGGAAGAGAGGTGCCAGGAAGGGGCCTTAAGGAGAGCACGGCACCAGAGCTCAGCCTCGGCTCCCGTCCTGTCTGTCGTACTTCTGGTTTCTCCAGCGACACTGAGGTTGCCAGAGGAAGCTGACACAGGCTCGGGCAGGAAGCCACCCATCAGCATGCCAGCACCCAGGCTGACCCGGGGTCATGAGAGCATGAGTCATGTGTCGGGGAGTCAGGTAGCCTGGCCTCCTCTGTAAATGTGGGGGACTGTCCTTCCAGGTGGTAGTGAGGGTTATGTGAGGTCAGGTTTGGAGGATAGTAAGTGCTCAATAAACGCCCGGTGTCCGGACCCTGCTCTGAGCTTCCCCTGGGCCCTCAGAACCTGGCTGAAGAAATGAAGGCCTGGAGAGATGATGTCACATGGGCCCTGGTCAGGTCTGAGGCCATGATTTAGACCACAGTTTGTGACCCCAGGACACCAGGCCTTCTCAAGGAACACGGCGTCATTGTCCTGGGAGCTTTCAGCCGAGAGCCCAGAGACCCTAAAACTCCTAGAGGTGAACGCAGGGTGGCAGGGGTACAAGTGCTGAGCAGGTGGTTCTCAGGGACGGGGCCAGAGGGAGGCCACTCTCAGGCCAGTGGAGGGCACTGACTTAGAAGGGTGTTAACTTTTCAGTTCAGCAGATGCCTGCGGTGGGGGTGGGGTGGGGGGCTTCCAGGACATGAGACTTTAGCTTTTAAAACCAGATGTTCTGAGCAAACCAGGGTGAAGTCACCGGTCAGCCACCACCTAACGCCGCAGGCCCACCCTAGACGTTCCGAGGCTGCCCAAGTTAGGGAACCACCGGCTCCACCCAGGGAACCACCGGGATCCACCCAGGGAACCACCGGGCTCCACCCAGGGCCAAGGGCAATCTATTCTCGGGCTCCAGAGTTCTTGGTGGTAGATCGGGGGCAGAGGGAGGTCAGGCGTCCCTGATCCCAGCAGGCTCTGTATGGACTTGGGGGTCAAATCCAGGCTCTGCCCGTGGTCAGCGGTGCCCTCTGGCCAAGTTACTTAAACCCTCTCAGACCCAGCGTCCTCCTCTGTCAAATGAGGCTGGTACAGGTTGGCTGTTGGTGTCCCGGACACTAGGGAGGGTGTCTTGTCACGGCTGAGTCCCCAGTGCCTAGAAGAGTTCCATGAAGTCTCACTAAAAGAAGTCACACAGGCACACAGAGCAATGAGGTTTCCTTGGGGAAGCTCAGTAGGCTCGATCATCGTCACCATAAACACAAAGCCAATCACATCTGGTCACTGGGGGATGGGTCACGAGAGTCCCATCTCACCCTGACGCTGACTTCTGGGTCTGGAAGGGTTCTGGTGTTGGCGAGGGGCATTTGAAACAGAGAAGCCTTTGCTTCTTAAGTCCCAAATCACAGATGAGGAAACCGAGGCTCAGTAAGGGGGCGCTCCTTCCGCTCCCAAATGGCACACTGCAGAGCTGTGCTTCAGCCCCACACTGAACCCTGGCCAGTCTGGGGGGCGGGGGGCTCCCTGAATTTTCTGGAGGCAGAGACCAGGTTGGGCCACAGCCAGAGAGTGGCAGCACTTAAGGTGAGGGAGAAGCCACTTGTCATGGAAAGGTGGCTGAGAGCAGGCAGCAACGGGGTGCTCAGAGACAGCGCTTTGGGAGACAGTGACTGGGCCTGGGTGGGACTCCAAGGTCCCCTGTGTCCTTTGACCTGGACTCCCCAGCTTCCCAGAATTCCAGAGCCCCCCTTTACTCCTCCCTAAAGGAAGGTAATGTAGCCAAGTGCGCCTCCCCGGCGGGCCTGTGGGGTACAGGTGGGGCGCCCCCTGCACCTCCCCAGTCTCCCCACGATGCCCATCTGTGGTCCCCTGGAGCTTCTCAATTAGAACAAGCTCCCACGGAGGGGACCCAGCACAGGGCTGGCCTGCGAGTCGCACTGGGAGCGTCCTGAGCATCAAATTATTCCTGCACCTTTGCAGAGGAGGAATTATTGGCAGAAAATGAGGATATAAAACCCCGCCGGAGCCTGGCACTTTTGGGGCGATCTTCGCTGAGCACTTGGAAGCCCGCCAGCAGATTGGCTCATTTTTAACGGTCTGGGACTGTAGTTCATCTGTTTAATTCAAACGAGGTGACATAATATCTTTCATTTGGACTTATTACCGGCTCGGAGGCGAGGGCGCTCCCAGCGCTCCCCGGGTAGGACGCTCTGTGGTTAATGCCCATTTTCTGTCTCTGGCCAAATTGAAAGTCCGCGGGAAGGGCCGCAGCCCGGGAAAGGAGAGATCAACAGAGAATAGGTCACCTCGGGCATTAGGGGGTGAAAATGAATTCATTCTTTTCTCTGTTGAATAAGCAGCTGTACCTGCGTCCCCGTGATCCATGAAATAGGCTGTCAGGAAATAGGAAATGCGCTGCCTTTGAACTTCACCCGCTGATTCCGCCCCCGGCACCTTGGAGACAGCGGCGGCTGCGCCCAGGAGAATAGCAGCAGGAATTGGGGTGCAGGATGGTCTTCCCAACCCGGAGGCACACTGTTATCCCCATTTTGCAGATGGGGACAACAAAGCTCAGAAAAGATCCAGAGACTTGCTCAAGGTCACTTAGCAGGAGGACCTCGCTTCAGGTTCACATGCAGAAGTAGCGCCACATGGTTGGGAATCTGTGTCCAAAGACCTCAAAGCCTCATTCTCCCTGTTTACCGTTGTGAGAGGTCGGGGACAAACTCTAATCCGGGCTCAGTTTTTCACAAGGTAGAGATACCCACCTCCCTGGACATGGGCATGCGCGGTGGTGCACGCCTGTAATCCCAGTGACTCCGGAGGCTGAGACAGGAGGATTGCTAGTTCAAGGCCAACCTCAGCAACTCAGTGAGGCCTCAAGCAACTCAGCCAGACCCTGTCTCAAAATGAAAAATAAAGAGGGCTGGGGGGGGGGGGGCTGGCTCAGTGGTTGAGTGCCCCTGGGTTCAATCCCTGGTACCAAATAACTAAATAAAATAAAATAAAACAAAATATCATCTCACGGGACTGCATGAGGCTTAACCAGAGAAGGAACGCAGTGAGCTTGGCACTTGGCCCCATGCATAGTGACGCTGGCCAACGCTATCTAATTCTTTGTGTATTAATACACACCTGGGCACTAGGCTGGGTGAGTCCTTGTTATTTTTGATGTTTGCCTTTCCGTTCCCCAGATTATAGGAATAAGATTGGAGAGCAAGTGACTTATTCTGAGACGCAGTGCATGTGGCAGTGGGACAGAGATCTGTCTCCGGGGGACCCTGCAAGCTTGTCCTTTCCACTACACCAGGTGGCACGAGGTCCAGGCTGGGAAGAAGCTTTGGAGATGCCAATTCGGGAATTTCCCGTCTCCCAGTTTGTTCATCCCCAGAACACTCCTCACCACCCCTCTACCTTTACCCAGTTGTTTCTTTTGTCACCGTCTCCCAGGGGTTCTGGAACTGATGTGAGGGGAGCTTTGCCCAGTTCCCTGCCGCAGCCCAGGTGCCCCGGGGGGGGGGGGGAGGCGGGCGCAGCTGGTCCTGAAAGCGCAGGCTCGGACGCTCTTGTTGGGTGAATTAGTTTTAGTGGAAAATTTTGATATTTTATTCATCAAAGACATTTCTGATGAACTTTCGTCTTGAATCACGTTGTATTATGCCATGGTTGCCAGTTTGCTTGTTGTTTGGTGCTCCCTGAAGGCAGGCCCTCCCTTGGCTCACCCTGCTCCCTGTGCTGCATGGACGGCAGAGTGTCAAGTACGGACATTCAAAAGAGAATTGTAAGCCGGGAGCTGTGGCACACATCTGTAGTCCCAGAGCGGTGAGGCAGAAGGACCGCAAGTTCAAGGTCAGCCTCAGCAACTTAGGGAAACCCT